TTCACATTCTCGGCCTACTTTTTAAAGGCTATTCAAGACAGTGCACGTGTGTGTGTGTGTGTGTGTGTGTGTGTGTCTGTGTGTGTGTTCAACCTTATTTTGGTCTGTCCAGTAGAGATAAAATCCATGAGGATCCACGTGAAGCGTCACTGGATTCACAGTGGACAGATCCTGTAGAGAAAGAATGAAAAACTATTGATAAAAAACAATAAATACAAAAAGATCCGACAAATATATTAAAGGCACCCATTAGTGGCCATAGAAAAGACCACATGATGCTCTAATTCCTATTTCAGCACTGGTGATTTGATCATTTTGGAAGGAAATGTGAAATTACCATTATGCAACATCACACCCGTCAGTGATGACTCACCGCAGGTTCATCCCTAAAATGTGCTTATTAAACCGGGAACACTGAGTGATTTTCGGGACACCAATTCTAACTGACTAAGTTGAGTTGTCATGACATCCAATAATTGTCCCTGTTGCCGTGGTAACACACCATGACAGTTTGTGATCAGCTCCAGGTGCACTTAGCCCGTCCAGTTTATATGAAGGAGCAGATAATATGGATAATTAGTGCAGTGATAAAAACTCTTTATTCAATATCAGTTACTTTGTAGACGACATACTATTACACACACATTACTAAATGTGGTTTAAAGTGTTTTATTCCTAAAAATATTGTTTTAAGAATATTGCTAAAGCAGCCATAGCAGGAGATGCATTAAATAGCTGCAAAAAAAACACAAAAAACGTATAAACTAATAAATGATGAATCGTGAAGATACATTTCTCTTGCAAACGGTGAGAAAATGTTCCTTACAATTCTCAAATATTGAAATAACTGAATGTCCTTGGGTTCAGACGGACAAAACAAGACGTTTTTTTTTATCATTATCGTTTATAGATCAAATTGGACTTTAAAAAAACTGGGAAGAATGTTTTTTCAGGGTTTTCTGACTTTGTATTTAAACCAGTTAATCAATTAATCTAGAACATATTTGTAAGACTTATCAAGGCGTGTGGTGCAGTGGATTGTGCGTTGGTGTTCGGATCACGGGGTCACAGGTTCAAACCCCACTGCAGTCAGCATGTCGTTGTGTCCCTGAGACACTTCACCCCAAATTGCTCCTGTGGGGATTGCCCACAGTTTGTTAGACGCTTTTGATAAAAGCGTCTAACAAGTGACATGTCATGTAATGTATCAATAATGAAAACACTCATTAGTTGTAACCCTATAAATAATATATTTAAGCTTGCAAAAAAATCACATTCTGGGTAAACTAATTAACACAACTTCAGCTATATCTCTCCAAGACTCTCGGAGCTATAATCTTTGGATCTCCACACCTTTATTTTCTCTGAGACTCTATTCCCTATTTTGGCACTGAATATTTAAAGGTTTTAATTTGTTTATGTTGTTGAAACAAATAAACAATGCTGCCATATTTCGAGAGGGGAAACTGTTTTAGCTTTCTATCTCACCCCAGGTGACATGATGTTTCTACTGAAGGATATTGAGCTTTCTAAATTATCTTTTGGATTATCCCTGAATTAGAAATAGATGTACAGACTGTAGAAAGCACCAACGATTGAACATTTGGTGATCGGCTTTATGCAGCGTGTCTTTTGGGGAAACAGCCGGCTGAGATGTTTGTGTAGAAATCAGAGCTCGAGACGTTGTGTGTGTGTTTCTTTGCTTTCCTCATAAATACTGCAGCCTGCGTTCAAAAGAATAAAAACTACAAAAAAACTCAGAAGATCGTTAACTAGATCCCTGGTTATCACCCGTTGGCATGGCAACCAATTCTATATTTCATAAAAACACAGCTCTACACACACACACACACACACACACACACACACACACACACACACACACACACACACACACACACACACACACACAGTTGGTGAATAGAGTCAAGTGTATTGAATTAGCTCTTCCGTAAGTATGATTCATGACATAACATGGATCAATGCATTGACACACAGACACACACACACACACACACACACACACACACACACACACACACACACACACACACACACACACACACACACACACACACACACACACACACACACAATCTGTTTAGGTGGCAGTAGCCATGCCAGTTACCATGGTAACCGGACAGCACGTTTCTCATTGTCAGAGCTCTCTTGTACTTCAGCATACCAACACGCAACACAAACACACACCGACAATTGTTTTTTTGACAATGCACGTGACAGCAATTGAGAGGTTCTGCATGTTCCTTCTCTCTCTCTCTCTCTCTCTCTCTCTCTCTCTCTCTCTCTCGCACACACACACACACACACACACACACACACACACACACACACACACACACACACACACACACACACACACAACAACAACAACCCCCACACACACAGNAACAGCTCCGTCTCCTGAAGAACACACACACACACGCACACGCACACGCACACACACACACACACACACACACCATCAGCTGGAGCTAAATGCTATATCGGATATAGCATTTAGCTCCAGCTGATGGTGTGTGTGTGTGTGTGTGTGTGTGCGTGTGCGTGTGCGTGTGTGTGTGTGTTCTTCAGGAGACGGAGCTGTTGGACCTAACCTTTGTTAAAGATGTCAGAACAGGGAGGAGCACCAAAACACCAAAGGTAACATCGGATGCTTTAATGAAGTACTTTTCACTTGTATTGTTCTTTAGTACAGTATATAGTACATGTAGCTTTTCTTTGCAAATATATCCTCTCTGATGTGGACGTTTTAGACTTTTACTCTTTACTTTTTATACTATCATGTTGCATTCAAAGCTTTGGTGTCCTGTCATTATGTTCTTTTGTCCTACCTCTATAAAGCATTACAACATGTTAATATTTCCTTTCTTAGTTACTAATATACTGCAGTTTGAAACATAGTATTTTTTACCTTTAATTTACTGATTTCTTAGCTGGTCATCTCCCTCCTTTGTGGTTACAAACAGCAATGCCAAGCTGTTTTGTTTTGAGTTTTTAAATATACTTTAAATATAAAATAATATTTTTCTGACCCACTTTAAGAGTAACACCTTCTTCTGTGACTAAAGCACTGTTGATGTCACGTACTGATAAGTCATTTCATTTTCAAGTTAATTTAATTTCAAGTTACTTTAAAAAGCTGAATCTTAATAGCAACTTGTTTTGAACTTTAAACAAATATCAATTATCAAATATCAAATACTTTAGGATCATGGTTAATGGTTGTGACATTACATAAGTAACATTTGTATTTCTCCATGTATATTTTTTTACTTTTTAATGCTATTTTATTTCTACTTATATTATATTATATTTTGGACTGTTTATTTCTCGTGTCTTAGTTACTCTTTTGTACATTGCCTTGTTTTTTATGCTGCTGCAACGCAAATATTTCCCAAATTTTGATCAATAAAGTATTAATCTATCTATCTATCTAAATACGACAAAATAAAATAAAGTTACAACTATAATACATAAAATAATACAATTTTTTTTAAATAAATGGTGTCTGAAATCGTTTTTTCTGTGTCGTCCAATAGGAGGCCAAGCTGCGGGAGCTGCTGGATATCGGCAATCTGGTTGGCCGACTGGAGAACCGCATGGTCACCGTGGTTACAGCCTCGGACCTGGTGAACGTCAACCAGCTGAACTTCATCGCCTCACAGGAGGACGAGGCAAAGGTGATGATGAAGAGGAGGAGGATGATAAGGATGATGAAGATGATGATGATGATGATGATGATGAGGAGGAGGAGGAGGAGGAGGAGGAGGAGGATGAGGAAGAGGATGATGATGAAGATGATGATGATGATGATGATGATGATGATGATGATGATGATGATGAGGAGGAGGAGGAGGAGGAGGAGGAGGATGAGGAGGATGAGGAGGATGATGAGGAGGATGATGATGAGGATGATGAGGAGGAAGAGGATGATGATGAGGAAGATGATGATGATGATGACGATGATGATGAATTGCGTTTCTTTCGGCAGATGTGGTGTGAGGAACTGTTTTCTCTGTCTTCCAATCTGCTGAGCCACAATCTCAACAGGGACCACAGTCTGTTGAAAGCGTGAGTAAATGCACGCACGCACACACACACACACACTCACACACACACACACACACACACACACACACACACACACACACACACACACACACACACACACACACACACACACACACACACACACACACACACCATCATCATCATCGGCGGTCACTCGTAGTCGAGTATGACTGTCCTCCTTCTTGGTCCTTGTGGGTCTTCAGGTGGGCATAGAGGCCGATTCTGGACCCGATTATCCTTGTGCAGTGTGGACATGGGAATGTAGTGGTGGAGGGTTTGGGTTGGACCTGTTTGGTGGTTGCTCTCTCCTTCTTGAGTCTGCGCTTGTCTTCTGCAGCATGGCAGAGGTCATCATTGTATAGTGCAGCACCCTCACGGACAAGGTTTCTCCAGGTCGCCCTGTCTGTTGCCATGTCTTCCCAAGCTTTTAGGTCTATGTGGAACTTCTTTAGGTTTGTTTTTATGTCACCTTTGTACCTCTTCTTTTGGCCTCCAGGGGCCCGTTTCCCTTTAGCAAGTTGGGAATAAAGGACTTGTTTTGGGAGGCGCACACACACACACACACGCACGCACGCACGCACACACACACATACATTTACTTACAGTGTATCCCCAGTTGAAAGACTCCTTTACTCTCTTTTGTTTCAGGTTCATCAGGTTGACT